GGTTGCAATCTGATCTGTACATGATCTCTTTTTACGAAATCCTGCCTGCTCCTCTCTTAGTTTTACATCCACGGCTTCCTTCAGTCTTTCTAGTATGGTACGACTTAAAATCTTCCCCGGAATGGAAAGGAGCATGATTCCTCTGTAGTTTTTACACTCATGCAGGTCTCCTTTCTTGGGTAGTTTCACGAGCAATCCCTCTCTCCAATCCTGTGGAAATTCTTCGCTGTCCCACATCTTGCCAATAATTCCATGAAGAATCCCTGCCGCAGTGTCGATATCCGCCTTGAGAACTTCTGGGAGAATTCCATCTGGGCCGGCTGCCTTGCCTGCTTTCTGGTGTCTTATGGCCTCCTTGATCTCCTCTAAACTAGGCTTTTCTTCACTTACCCCCAGATCAATCTCTGCTGGTGGAATGTCAAACTGTTTTTCTGGCCTTGGTCTGTTCAGCAGCTCTTTGAAATGCTCCTTCCAGCGTTCTTTCTGTTCGTCTGGATTTGTGAGAAGCTTTCCCTCTTTATCCTTCACCGGCACATCTGCGTTCTTGTATCTGTCTGCAAGTTTCTTGGTGGTTTCATACAGTCCTCTCATGTTTTCTGCCCCTGCTGCTTCCTCTGCCCCGCGCGCTAGGTCATCTACATAGTTTCTTTTGTCTTTCCGTAGGCTGACTTTTACCTCCTTCATTGCTTTGGTGTATTCTTCTTGGGCCTTTGCTTTGGCTGCTCTTGTCTTGCTCCTGTTTACCTGATCTTTTTTCTTTTTCCTTTCTTCTATCTTCCTCAGAGTGGTGGCCGATATCCAAGGCTTGTGCGCACGTTTCCGTTTCCCCAGTACCTCTTGACACACAGTGGTCCAGCCTTCTTTTATTGCCTCCCATGTTTCTTCCACGCTGCTATCCTCGCCTAGTGTTTCTAACACTTGGAACCTGTTCTTAACTGCTACATTAAACTCCTCTCTTGATGATGGCTCTCTCAGAAATTCCATGTTGTACCGGTACCTATGATTATTGACAATTCCCTGTCTTCGCTTTAGTTTTAGTCGGATGGTTGAAATGAGCAAATGATGGTCCGAAGCTACATCTGCACCCCTGTAAACTCTAACATCCCTCATTGATCTCCTGAATTTCTTGTTGACACATATGTGGTCAATCTAGTTTTCAGTTTGTTGGTCTGGCGACACCCATGTTGATTTGTGTATCTGTGTATGTGGGAAAACAGTCCCTCCTATCTTGAGCCCATTCGTTGCACATATTTCTGCAAATAGTTCTCCATTCTCGTTTCTGACTCCAGGTCCGTGTTTCCTCATGATTTCTTCAAAGCCTACATTGTCACTGCCTACTTTAGCGTTGAAGTCTCCCATTAAAATCAAGATGTCCTTCCTTCTAACCTGATCAATAGTATTTTGTAGCATTTTGTAGAAAGTCTCTTTCACATCCTGGTCCTTATCATTGGTGGGGGCATATCCCTGGATAACATGAAGGTTGATGTCTTTCTTCTGTGAACGGAATTCAGCTTGGCGTGTGTTGATAACAGAATACCTACTCCTTCTGTATGTGGCGAGTTTTCCTCCAGATGTCCAGAGTAGAGAACCGTTTCCCCTGAAGCAAGTTGGCACTCCCCTGCATTCGTCCATCTCGTCTCACAGAGACCCAATATGTCCAGTTGGTAGCCTTCCATCTGTCTTGCAACCTGCAGTGTCTTCCCTGCCTCGTACATTATACGAACATTCCAGGTGCCAAGTCTGGTGGTTTTTCTGGTCGACAGGAGGTTTCTCGGCTTGGTGGCTTTCTTCCGGCTTTCACCACCCTGCGTCATTCTACACTCCATGTTCTCTCCTCTCCCTGGTGATGAAGGTCCTCCATCTTCCAGAACTGGCAGTCGTGTTGTTTTTGCTGTTGATGTTTTTGTAGCTGCTTTTTGTTTTATGGGAAAGGGCTGCTAACCCTTTGCCCAACCGACCTTAGTCGCCTTCTACGACATGCGTGGTACGGATACAGTGGTCCTATTCTTTGCTCCCCTGTCTCTTGGACAGGGCCCCGAGAACCACACGGGTGCTAAGCAAATATGATATATCGATTTGGTCGGAATATACATTTTGATTTTTTGACAACTTTTAACGCATTTTAAAACACTCTCCTCCACGATTTTGAATGCAGATTTTTTATATGTTATAACAGGAAGCTTTATCCGTCGAACCATATGTTTTATTTTTGTTGCAATTTTTAGAGTCTACCCTTATCTTTCTTCCACTACAGTAGTAGGCGGTTGTTTACTGTTTTGACCAAATATGAATCCACACTGTGCTTGTGGCTAAGTCTCTGTACAGAAGAATTAAGAGCTAGATGAATAGCATACATACATGAAATGCCTTATAGGCTATCAGAAATGGCAAATTTTGCCAACTTCCGTGACATCCATGATTCGTCACAAAGTTTAAGATTATGCATTGTTCAGGAGGCAGATTGGAAAGCAACCCACTTTCCGGTTGATGTTGGATGCAGAGGTATTGTAGCAACTAGCGTCCGAAAGTGGATGAGTGTGGCAGGACTTATTGCAAAGAAAAGTATCGAACTCATAAATTCCCTTCAGGAGACAGTAGAGAAAGCCAGTCACTGGATCTGGTTGAAGTGAGAGGACACAGGCTGGAATGAATCGTAAGAGTTGGCTGCAGAGAAAAACAGTCGGACTAGCAAGGAGACCTCCCATCGGTGAGGGGGCTCAGTGTGTGAGAAAAGCTGTAGAGAGGAAGAGCCAGAAGCAGCGACGCATTCTCTCCTGATGATCTCCTCGCTAGAGTCCGGGATACAGAGCTTTCAGCTGTGAGCAGTGCATATGGCTGTTTTAGACTATGTTTCAAATTGTTTTTTAATTTGGTTAAAAATTTTTTTACCTTAAACTATTAAAATCTGTTCGCAGCTTGCCTTGTGAGAATGCTTGTTGCCATTCAAAGTGTCCAAAGGCGTGTGGGGCGCCATGTGCATCTTGTCTGGAGCCGTGTATGTGGAGGTGTGAGCATGCTGGTTGCCAGGAACGATGTTGCCAGCCATGTGAACGGCCTCCATGTAACATGCGGTGCAAGAAAATTCTGCAGTGCAGACACAGGTGCTGTGGCTTGTGTGGGGAGAAATGCCCAAGATTGTGTGTGATCTGTCATAAACAGGTGAGATAATAATAGTGATGATGATAACAGTAATTATATTGATATAAATAAATTAAATAATGGTGATGATGATAACAGTAGTAATATTGATATAGATAATTAAAATAAAAATGATAGTGATGATAACAGTAGTAATATTGATATAGAAATATAAATAATGATTATGATAGTAGTAGTTATATTTTTATACCTACTGATCCAAAAAAAGCTTTAGCCACTGGAAAGCCTATAACTCTCCACCAAAGTGCTCAATTCACACAAATTTAACAGGAAGCAAGCTGAACTATCTGGAAGGAGAAACATGTAACAAAAACAACAATACCTTGGAAGCAGCCGCGGCTACTCCGAAGATACAGTTCACTGTTGAACAACATATTTTTATGGTTGAAACATATATCGAAACAAAGTCCCCTATGCGGACACGGATTCTCCTCTGTTAACGGTTTAGAATTAACACCAAAGACTGTTAGAAAATACCAAGTAAAGTAACAATACTCAAGTGGGTAGCTGACTTCAAGTCACATGGCTCTGTCGAAAATAAAAACAAATAAAAAACTAGGGTCACACAGTGGGAAACTGATGCAAGTGCGCGCTCCTGAGAATGTGGCAGTGGTAATGGAGTCTGTGAGTGAAGAACCTAAAAAAATCAGTTCATCATCATAGTATTGAATTAACTATTGCTAGAGAATCTGTTTGGCGCATGTTGAAGTACGATCTGAAGTTTAAACCGTACAAGATCCAGGTACGTCAAAGGCTCAGCAAATCACTCAGAGCGTGTATCGCCCGAAACAGACGTTACATGATGCATGTCGTGCTCTAACTTTGTTCAAACTTGGAATTTTTATTTGTAAATTTGTCACAATAAATCCGGATGGTGACAAAGTACATCTGTGAAATCTTGTGCTTCTATTTCTGTTTTTACTTAACCGTTTTTACAGGTGTCTCTGTGGGTAAAGGTTTTTTTTAGGTCACCTGGTAGATAATAAAAATAATGATGATGATGATGATAACAGTAGTAATATTGATATAGATAATAAAAATAATGATGATGATGATAACAGTAAGTAATATTGATAGATACTACTACTAATAAAAACAGTGATTCATAATGATATAAATGATAATAATACAGTCGAACCTGCCATGACGGCCACCTCTATAAGACGGCCACCTGTACAAACAGCCACTTTCCATTTCCCACCTTGCGTTTTTTTCGATATAATTTAACTTAATAAAACGGGCACTTGTCCAACGCGGCCGCGGCCACCCTATTTTATCAACCCACGTCCAAATCTACCTGCGTAAGGCGGCCAGACTTTGTCAAAATTATGCATTTTCCTCTGACATTGTGGACAAGCCATCGTAATTCATTCACATGTCATTGTTGTCAGTCCCTCCAATGGATGAAACGGTCATGTTGCTTAGGTCACTCCGAATGTTTGTCCAAGTTGACCAATGGGTAACAATAAATTTTCAACTGCTGGTAAGAAAGCGTGTGATCCGTCATAACCTATAAGGCCCGCCCACAACTCAGTCTGTAAACCAAGTCCATAACAATTGAAGTCAACACAAACTTGCAACAGAAATGTTGCTCATTGGCTGAGTGGTGGCGACCCATTTATTTGTTTTACTATGACACTTGGCCTTCCTTGTCTGAAACATTTAGTTTTGTTTTGACCTTTCCCGGAACCATAATTTAAAAATAAAAATAAAACTAGCAACAAAAAGTCCCACAAAAACCGTCCTATCCTCTCCCTTCTTTCAAAAGAATTAAAACAACAACAACTACAACAACAACAACAAATTTTAATCAGCCCTATGGCAGTCCTAAGCATGAAACCACCTCCAGTTGGGACCTCAGAAGTAAACAGGTTTTTTTTGGGTTTTTTTTATCGGTCCTGCCTAAGAGGGCCACCTGTCTTATACAGCCTCTTTTCCCCTTGACAATGTGTGGCCGTCTTACACAGGTTCGACTTTAGTAGTAATAATAATAGTAGCCTAATAATAATAAAAATAATTATAATAATTATAATTATAATAATTATGTACTGCATGATAAAAGTAAACTTTAACACACCGACCACCACCTTTGTGCATGACAACAGTCACAGTGCGCTATTCCATGTTTGTGTAAGACTTACCTGCAACCTCACTGTGACCATCATGGCAGCCCTGCATGTTGTGTTCTGGGCCAAGCAGTGTAAGTGAAATTATAATAATGAGGGTGAAATATTCTTGACATTAACACTTATTAGACAATAGTTTAGGGGCTGGACCGGGATTCAAACCCATAAACTTATGGTTGCAAGTTCGGCAGTGTAACCACTAGACTACCAATACCACAAAATAATCTGTTTTGTCTGAGTTTTCAAAGTTTGTCAGACACCTATGCTTAAAAGGCATGTCAGATTTGCAAATTGAGGATTTAATGAGAGTAGACTGGCTTAAGAGAAAGATGTAAAAAATTGATTCGAATGTCACTAGTAAGTCTGTTAAAAAATTTTTTTCACAAAAGACCAATACTAACTTGTGTTCAATTTGGCTGTTTCGACAAATAAAGTCAAATTGTCATAAAGATTTCAATGTTGTAATAAAAAGGATTTGATTTGAAGTTAATCAAAGATAATAGCTTTCGTGTCAGGACGTGGTGGAATCAGGCCCTCTTCAGTTTTTGGACATGTGGAGTTATTGGTATCATTTTTCAGTTTACTCATTTGTCTTGCTTTAGATAAAAAAAATACTCATTTATCATAAATAGAAGTCGAGATATTTGTCATTGAAGGAGATGGGGGGGTCGCCTGGTTTCAGAGTTAAAATTAGTGAGAAAATGGCGGCATAAGTTTGGCGACATCCAAAGCTTGAGTGTTTTCAGAATCTGCAGATTTACATTTTGGTGCCTTAAATCAACATTTTTCAGTAAAATCCTCACAGAAATGTGTTTTTAAATGGACCTTAAAGGTGTTGAGTCAAAAAACAAAAATTTGATAAAAATTGCCTAACGCACAGAAAAATGCCAGTCTCATCAATTTCATTATTTTGACGAGTGCCTGATTTCACCACGATGCTTCACATTTTTAATTGGCTTGCATATACAGTGACAAATATTTTGAAACCTTTCCTAAACACTGAAGTTTACTGCATGTGGTAAAGTGACTCAAACTTGTGTCACAAATGACCATCTCCAACGTGCCTGTGAATCTTTCTTACACTAGATATATACAGTCAAACCCTGTTATACTGCTCCATGTTATGCCACCAGTCACACTTATCACCAGAATTTACCTGTGCTTGAAAAGGAATGTGTGTATATAAACATGCGTTAATAAAGATTATTTTGATTTTTGACAGGTATTTTCCAGTTCTAATAGTTATTTCTTTGACTTAGATGGAGTGTAAGGGCGGTTGATAAAATCATATAGATGGATATGGTCAGTGTAACCAATATCATCTTTAAAATACAGTTGAACATGCCATGGCGGCCACCTGTACTACAGACTCCACTTTCCATTTTCCCCCTTGCATTTTTTCGATATACACTGTGTAAAACGGGCATCTGTCCCAACATGGCCGCGGCCACCATATTTTATCACACAACCCCTATCACACCAAAGAAAACAACTGTCTTAGACGGCCACCCCTCTCTTCCCCCGACGTTTTGTCATAAATTATGTATTGGCCCCTGACGTTGTGGACGAGCTGTCATAAACCAATCAACTGTCGTTGTTGTTAGATAGTCTTTCCAATTGTTCATGTTGTGTAGGGCCCTCCCACTCTTGACCAATAGGTAACAATAAATTTTCAGTTTCTGGTGAGGTAAACGCATGATCCTTCATACCCATAAGCCCTGCCCACAACTCCTACACAGAGTGAGAGGAGTGGTCACTGTTTACCCACTCTGTAACAAAGTAACAATGGACGTCAGCGTAAACTTGTGACAGAAGCGTCGCTTGTTCTCCTAGTGGTGGTAACCCATGTGTTTGTTTTAACATGGCAGTCGGTCTTCCTCGTCTGACACATTTCATTTTGCATTTTGTCACCCTTGCACAAAATGAGCAACAAAATAAAAAAGCTAACAAAAAACAAACCGACAAAAACAACAACAGTGCAGCTACCTTCAGTTGGGATCTCAGAACGGAATAGTTTGCTTTCTTCATTTTATTAGATCCTGATTAAGACGGACACCTGTCTTTCACAGCCACTTTTCTCCTTGACAATGGGTGGTCGTCTTACACAGGTTCGACAGTAAATACGTAATATGTGGTAATGACACTGTTTCCCTGTGATTTGTAAACATGTAGGAGCTGATAGACACCAGTCTCCTGGGCTATGACGGGGACCCTGACACTCTGTTTATAGAGCTGGATTGTGGTCATGTGTTAGAAGTGGACTTTGTGGACCAGTGGATGGTCACTTCAACCAGCTCAAGTGAGGAAGAAAGCGATCAACTGGCTATAGCAATGAAGGCTTGCCCATTATGCAAGTCTGTGATTCGGAAGTGTCCTCGTTACAATAAGCAGATCAAGGTACTTTGTTACAGCTTTTTTTGTTTTCTTTCCAGTTTTGTTCCTGGTAAATGTCAAAGCTTAACACTTTCTCTACCGTGAGCCGCATTTTGCTGCTCACGGATGTGGCCTCGCTGGATCAAGAGCCGTAAAATACGGCTCGAGTGGTTCGCTGTCTATTCCAATCCAATAATGAAAAGACTCAAAAATCTTGGTCAATCCACGTTTTCTAAATAATAAAATGACTTCCTGTTTGCGGATATGAAAGAAAATATAGCACTGAGAGACGATTTTTAGTCATTTCAACGCTTTTTTTGTCTCCTTCGAAACGTAAAAATGAAAAGAAAAGCGCTCCCCTCACTTTAGTATTTATATGTCTCATATTTTCACTTCTATAATATGTACACATATATATAACTTTCAGCATTTCTTTGCATTACTTGAGGCAACCTACCTGTGAAGTTTGAATGATGCTGTTGTTATACTTTAAAAAAAAGATATAATGACCTTTCAAAGCCGGAAAAATGTTGATTTTTGTATGACACCTTCGGCATTGTATAATCTCTTTTAGAAACCCCAAACTAATATAATTGAAATAAATCTATAATGCTGTACCACCATCTGATAGATTGTTTTTTTAACCTTCTGTTTGATGGGCCTTATGATATGGCTTGTGTGTGTTTAGTTGGATGTTTTGACATTTTCCTTTGGTGGGGTAGGGGCGTAAAAATAAGTCAGGGAAAGGCCCTGGGCCAGTGGTGGATTTTGGCCTGATAGGAAAAGAGTTAATAATTAGATAGTTAATTACTGAGAGAGCTTTAAAAGTGTTTATGTGCTGGTATCCTAGGTTTGCTGCAGTTTTCCTAATAACTACGCTCGTATTTCACATTATATCAATAGGTTTATTTTCTTTATTCATAGACTTATGTTACTATTGTCCATAAGATTGTCTAACAGATAATTCTACTGATATAATGGATTTTTAAAGTTGTACTGTGTTTTGACCATTTCCAGTCTCTAGATAATTGCAGGGAATATTTAATTTGATAGTGGATAGTTGATTATAAGAATTACCTCATATCATATACTCCAGAGATGTAACTAATTCTAAGATGGAATGTAGCAGTGATTAATATAATCATATAAATGGATATGGTCAGTGAAAAACAATATTATCTTTTAAATAAATATGTGTGGTAAAGATGATGATAGTTAAGAGGAGGAAGAACGTATAGGAAAAAAACAACAAAGAAGAAAAAGAAGAAGAAGAGGGAAATAGAAATGGGTGTTTTTGTGTATGAAAAATCAAGTTGCCATTTTGTCATCAAGGTAATTTTTCTGTACTCATAGTATCTTTCATGTTCTTGTGAAGGAAATCTTGCGACTGATTGAGAGAGTTAAAAGGAAGTACATTGGAGATAATGAGAGACTGGATCGACTGAAGAGACAGAGGGATGACATTGCAAGGACCCTGGGAGGTCAAGATGGTTTAGCTGTTGACAAGTTCATCGCTGACGGTATGTGGTTTCTTATAGAGGTTTGTGGTTTATTCTACTGATGCAACTGGCGTTAAAGCAAAGTAAGGAAAAGGTTGTCTAGTTGTTTTTTTAAAATAAGTAGATCAAAGACAAAAGAAGGTTCCAGTAAATTCAAAGTTCTGAAAAATACTTGAGTCAAAAATCTTGTTGGTGAGTGACAAGTGAAAGAATAAAAGGCAGTTGACCCTAGTGATACTAATGGGGTCACTATAGTAGATGTGTTGTATCCAGACCGCAGAGACCAAGGCTGTACAAAGGAATTTATCACAGTGCTCTCTAAAAGAACAAAGTGGGGTGACTCTGTCTATCAATATGGACGCTGAGTTAAATTTTCATGTTTATTTAATGCAAGAAAGAGATGATTAGTTCTTCTGTTGCTATAAATATGAAAAATTTCAACAGCAACTCTTTTACCACTTGGCTGTTTCTGTCTCAGTCATGAATTATGTCTTCAGCATGCTACAATTATAGCCTTAATCAGACTTCTCAGTTGTTGTTTTTTCTTTCTTAATTCAAAACCCATTAGGCACTGTTCATTTTCTTGTCTTTTAGTTTGAGAAATTGATTTACACCAGAGGACGATGAAAAGAAAATACTATTTTCTGTTTCTTCCTCTGCTATGTAATGGAAAGGAGGCAAACTCTTGTCCCTGACAATCTTGGAGGCCCAGATCAACCAAATTCGCCTGTTCCAGCAGCTTTGTGCTTTGACACGTAAGGCAGATGAGGGACAGATCAAGTGGGGAGGAGGAGAAAGTGCTGATACATTCAGGTAAAGAGCAAAATCAAATATTTGTTTTGTTTAGATTTGTCATGGAGTACATCAGAATTTTAACATAAGAATTATTTCCCTGGTGAACTAATTTTATGGGTTTGCTTCCTTTTGAATGTCAAAATAATGGAACTGAAAAAATGGGCATTTTCCTTTAGTTTGACAATTTTTATAGAATTTTTGTTTTTTGGCTCAACACGTTTTATGGCCATATAAAACACATTTCCGTGTGAATTTGACTGAAAAACGTTGATTAAAGGCACAAAATATGTTCTTTTCCAATTTTCACCCATCATTTTCAATCGCAAATATCTCGACTTTTATTCAAGATAGATGGGTATTTTATGCATTGAAAGTAAGGCAAATAAATAAGCTTTTAGATAGCACCAATAGATCCACATGCCCAAATACTGACGAGCGCCTGATTATACTGTGTCGTGACACATTATAAGTGTCAGTTTTCAGTTGTCAAAGTTTCCAAGTTTTGCAGCCGTACAACAGGGAAGTGATGCCTGCTTCACATATTTTACCTATTATGTTAGATATTATTCCTACTTTTCTGCTGTTTCGATGGCTTTGGGAAAGTCTTTGTTTCATTCCCCCCCCCCCGTTCTTAATTTTTGTGTTCTGAAAGTTTTGGTTTGTGTGCAAACTATGGAAAAACCGTTGTTGACAGAAACTTTTGGATCGCTCAATTAAAACTGTCATCAGTCTATGAAGTTTCACTTAGTATGGAACTTGAATTAAAGATTCCTCACTGTTTTTATTTTTATTTCTCAAATTTTGTTGAACAAGTTGGAAAGTAAAATGCTTGTTTGTGGACTGTGGTATTCAATGGTACACTTTTTTTTTCTCTTTCAGAGCCATCATTTCTGATCTGCAGAATTTCAAAGCTTGGACTTTGCAGAAACGATCCTTGTTCTCACCTCAGAATAACCTTGATGCTCGGAGGGAACATGGGCGTCTCAGTATTCTGTTGGATCTAAGGAGACTTGAATTTACAATAGAAGATTACGGAGTGCATTCTCAGATACCAGTGAGACTGATGATCTTGCTAGGACAAAGTCTCGGGTGAGTCCTATTCTCATTTTTAAAAAAAGAAGAACATTTTGTTCTGGTGTCAGTCAGTAAACCAGTCCACTAATGAAGTACTCAAATAACAGTCGGTTAGATAATTAAGTCCAAAAACTCTCAAACTAACCAGTTTCTACTTGACTAATGCATTGCTTCTTAGATCTCTCAATGATGTTTCTAACTTATAAATACCAAACAACCATCATCTGATTAGAATTATTATGCAAATCAATAGTGATATCAATTGTTCCTGTGGCTGAACATTTTTCTCTGGGCTATTTCAAGTTGACTGATTCAGCCCGCAGTACCACTCATAACGGCTGACTGTCTCCTGTGTTTTGACGCAGAGCCGCTCTTCTATATCGCTTTCCTCTCTTCTTTTTTCCTTACCACTTACATTTCAACCCTTTTTTTCTGGTGTCATTCTATAGTATTTCTATTCTGAACATCTATATGCCACACTTATGGGTTTTATAAAATGTATATATTTTCTTTATTAACTTTGTGATGTCACGAAGTGGTCACATATTATTTGCGTCTGGAGTCGAAATTATCTGCGGGCTGAATCAGTTAATCCTTTATTAGTTAAGTGCTTGGTCCTGAAGATCATAAGATTTTCTTTGATTTCTGAGAGGAACTTGCAGGAAAATTAAACCTTTACACAAGCAAAAGGAACTTAGAAAAGACTCAATTCTGAATTGAATTTTAAGATTATTGATAGTGTTATGCTCCAACCGTGTAAGTAGAAGAACTTATAAAAATTCTTCTTTGTCAAAAAACTCGGAACTGCGGTCTATCCAAAGGTTCTCAATGAAAATCAGGAGTCAGCATGCACCAGAAAAAGTATAAAAGTTACTGTTGGCTGACTTTTTTGTCTTCTTTCTTCCTTTAATTTCAAAAGGTTTTTTTCTTAGAATGATGGAAATTTTAAAAGAAACTGGTCACATGGTTTGAACATAATACCACTGTTGTATGGCTGCTTCCATTACAGGAAGCTGAAGAGGTACGGGGCTGCTACTGACAAGGATATTGATGAGAGCAGACAACTGTGCGAGAATCTGCGGAAAAGTGTACCTGAATCCAATATTGCTTTGACCAGTGCAGAAAAATTGGAAATTGTCAAAGCTATGGGCCTGACAAAGGGAGCCTGGTACAAATGTCTAAAAGGTGACTGCAAAATTTCATCTCGTGAAACAGGCCCAACTTGTTGCTACTATTGATTAAGACTTGCAAGTTCTTTGAGAGCTATACAGTAGAGTAGTGGCTAAAACAGCACCTGGACATGGATGGCTGGTTTCTCTATAAATAAATCATTGATGGTCTGGTCTATACAGTAGAGTCCACTTAAACTGAGCAATGTTAATCTGAAAAGCAATTTTTTTGGTTCTGTTTAAGCAACCACTCTAAACTGGAACCTGGCTAAACCAAACGAAAATCCGACTGTCCTACCTATTTTGTTAAACAGACTCCACGTACTGTATTTACATCATTTTAACATTTTCTTTTATTCTTCACTATTTCCATCACTGTTCCTGATGTTTTCAAATGGTAGGTTGTAATGAAAATTGTGTTAACGTTTGAAAGGTCAGTCTGTCGGTTTAAATGTAGGCTTTTTTGACGCGGGTGTGTCTCTGAGTGACATAAATATAAATCTCAAATTTACTTAGAAAATCCCCCAAAATACTGCAAATATTGCCAAAAGTTTGACAAAAGTCACGAAAGCTGGGCTCACAATACTGAGTCAGAAAAGCTTATAAACAGAGTACTCTGGTGGGTAGAAGACAGTATGAAATAGATGAAAACGAAGCGCTGAATCACATATGACTTGAGATATAAATAGAACAGGTCCATACATGTACATGTAGCTGTATCTGTGAGGTTAAACAGCACTTAAACATAGTTAGCTAGTGCCACTTGTTAAATTATTAATGGTTACATGTGACATACCAGTTGTAGTTATGTTTTCTTCAAGTGGAATAACATTGATTATTTCAGGCCATATCTATGCTATTGGAGAGTGTGGCCAAGCTATGGAAGAATCCAGGTGTCCGGAATGCAAATCCACCATTGGAGGAAGGGACCATAGACTTAATGCAAGCAATGCCTGGGCCCCTGAGATGGACAATGCTGAAGTTCCAATCTCACGAAACTTTGAAGCAGACCATGCTTTAGCTCAAATGATGCAAAGGCAACTAAATGATCAGGTTAGTTTGAGTTGGAAATTCATTTGCTGTCCTCTCAAAATTGCGTGATTTCTTGTATGGCATAGAAAATAGATGCAGTCGAATCTGCCTTAACAGAAACCTATCCTGACAGAACCCCCCCCCCCCCCCCCCCACTATAAATTCCTCTATAATTACTTTTTAAAAATGGAATCCTGTTTAATGTGAAAACGGAAAGAGAAATTCCTTCCCGTCTGAGGGTTTCCAACATGGAAACTTTCATGGGAGCCAGGTGTGAAATTAGTTTGGCCCATGCCTGCTACCCTGATCCTACGGTCAGCTGAGAAAAGACTTCCTGGAATCATTGTTACATGGGGGATGGCATGAGATATCTGTGCTTATTACACCAAGGGATGGGGCGAAGGGTGAAAGCAAAGGAGATATTCAAACATTTCTGTTTTTAAAAGGTCAAACAGTGGTCCTGAAATTCAAGCACTGTTGGCAATGGATAACCAGGACTGACGCATGCCATTATTAGAGAGGATAGCACTTGAGAGGTGTGAAGATTCCTTTGGCTTCTGGTGTCTTTGATCCCACCGGCTGGGCCTCTGAAACCCACCCCCTTCTCCCCCAAAATTGCCCTGTGTAAACCGAAAATGTCTAAAACTGAATTTTTATCTGGCTCCCTTGCGATTCCATTTTACACAATTTCGATTGTGATCGTGTACCCCTTCTCTTTATTGTATGGTTATTTTAAAGGTGGGTCTTTCGAAATTCATGTCCATTTCTCATAGGATAGCCTTAAGAACTCACCAATTAAGAAGATTTTGAGAATGGTCCTTTGAGGATTCGAACCCGGGCCATTTATACCATTACTAAGCTAGTGCATCGTCAAAATTTCAGTTGTCTATCGTTTTAGTATCTACTCTTAATGGATTTCTATCATCAAGAATGTGGTAGACCCCCAAAGCCAAGTAGTATTCCTAACAGATGCCATGTCAGTACTGCAGGCAATCTCTGCCGGCAAACTACCAAGGCTACGAAAAGTAATTGAGGACATCCCATGTCTGAGGATCATGCTGAGGTGGATTCCATCACACTCTGGTGTCTTAGGAAATGAGCAGGCTGACAGGATGGCCAAACTAGGAGCACAGAAAGAGCAACCAAACAACAGCGTTAACTACACAGAAATAAAAACTATTATAAGTACACTATTTAAAGCACCCCGGACACCAGATAGCTACCATCAGCTGTCCCGCCAAGAACAAGTGATTATCTTCCGACTAAGGACACAACACACAAGACTGAGACAACATATGTACAGATGTTTTAAACTAGTACAATCACTAAGATACAAGTGTGGAGAGGCGGACCAAACTGTTGAACACATCCTTCAGCACTGCAAGACACAAAGGGCCCTGAGACAGGAAACGTGGCCAACCCCACTGACGCTTCAAGAGAAGCTATATGGGCCGACAGATGAACTGAACCCAATTTATGACAGGTACCAGACATCAAGTGTGATGCGATTGAGAAGAAGAAGAAGATGGATTTTTCAGGACATACAGCAAAAATGAGGCCCTACAAAGGGGAAGTAATACCCAATAGGATTTTAGCAGATACAATCTATCTCAATGCAGTAGTCAACAGTTCTTAAATGTAGGACACTATATATATATATATATATATATATATATATATATATATATATATATATATATATATATATTATTTGATACCCAACTAGGGCTTGATTTTATGCATGTTGGGCCCCCTCGAATTTGTTAGATATTCAAGCAGTATAGTATGTGCAACCTACAAGAATTGGCAGATTATGGAGAAATCTGTATACCCCCCGTATTATATGCAAGGTCGTGTAGGCCAGTATTTTATACATGTAGATGTACAGGGTCAGACCTTCTGCTGCTTTGTCTCACTTTCAAAATTGGTGGGGGGGGGGGGAATCTTGAGAACCCTGTTTCTGGAGTGTGGCAAAGTTTTTGTTGCACAATTTATTTATTTCTAGTCAATGTTATTATGCTTATTGTGATTAATGCTTAATTACTTGTATAAAATTGATGTGTATGACAAATGTATACAAGGCTACTTTGTAGCTTTTTATGTTTACTGTACTGCAGCATACGAAAATTATCCTTGAATTAGTATAGAAAATAAGATCTGATTGTTGGAACTTTGGATAAGTTCACATTTCACATGCCTACTCCGGCAATCGGCAGACAAATAGCTATTCAGGATATCAAAAACACTTTCTGTAACATATAAGACACATGACAGTAGTTCTCAGCCGTTTATGATTCTAATTTGAACTGAAAGGATTGTTTGATGTATATGTTAAAGAGATAAATGGCAGGATACAGAAAAGAGAAATAATATTTAGACATGGCTGGTTTCACAGACTCAGGGATGGTTTTTTTTCATATTGACTAGTTTGGGCAGAATGAAAACTAAAATTAAGAGGAGCCAAGGATTTCCCATTTATGATTGTAAATGTATTATTGTCCCATTAACACAGTTTTGACCCTGTTTGTCAGCTTGAACCAGGGAGGAGTGGATACTATATCTTGTCAAAGACATGGGGGAATCAATGGAATAGTTTCCTCATGTGGCATCAGAATGACAAAAAGCCTGAACATTACACTACTGGTATGTTGGTCATCATTTCAGTAAATGCACTACCCATAGTTCACATTTTAAATAGTCTGAGCTGCAGTCAAAACGTTATTTTCCCCTGTACTGTGTCATTTCAGTTTGGAGATGTCTAAACGGAGTTACCAGTGTGGCTGCCGTTCAACTGCAGACTGTCTCAAGGTTTGAAGACTTCCATTGTAGATCGAGACGATCTAGTACAGCCCTACAATGTGTTATGGGATACTGACTAAAGAAGTCTTGACAGATTCCTTTGGCTTCTGGTGTATTTGATAGCTTGAACTTTATGAGTACACTTGTGTGATAAAGGAATTTATAAGGAAGAGATCATGGTATTTGACTGTGTAATGTTGCCATAATAGATCCTCTTGTTTCATTAATAATAATTTCTAAATGATTCATATTATAATGCTATTTCTTGTGTGTCATTACTGTTTGAAATGTAATTTTGACAATCGATTTGTATAGATAACAAGTTAAAAAAAAGTAAACTCTGCCCCTACAGCAAATGCTGATGTCTATTCAAGTTCATACATAGGCTATAGGTGTTGCTCTTCAGGGTGTCATTATTGTGCATGTTGACGATTTTATCTCACAGATGAGCAGTATGATGTGCTTTGATTATTTAACTTTTTAATGTACATATTGGAAGTGTTGTCAGATGCAATCTGTATTTTTTTCTCTCAAATATAATATGAAATGTCATATATTAAAATAATGATCATTCATATTGAGAGTGCTGTTACATATAATATGTACAAACTACCTAGTGGACGAACATGACCATGATGATGGAAAGACATCAAACTACCAGCTGACGGTAGTCTTTAGTGAACCCGGGAGAGCTGTCCAGTAAGCATCATTTATGGAAAATATCTCAGATGTGAAGATGGCGCAAGGCTTTTCATTGCTAAGTACCTACAAACCGATGAATAGAAGGGCACAGCTTGTTCACTCAACAGGTGAGGGAACCTCTCTTAGCGTGAGCTACCTTTCCCCTTATGAGCTCTGAACACTCGCCTAATCTTGCGGTAGTGTAAATCTAGCTGTCAACTGAAGGGAGCTCAGGTGTTTGGGTCCTCTAGGTTTAGGATTAGGGCTCAACAGTGTTAGAACTTCCACAATATGGGCAAGAAGGCATATGTAAGGCAGTAAGGTGAAATCGGGCGCTCATTAAAATAATCAAAGTGAAAAAACTGGGATTTTTCCGCTGGTTTGGGAATTTTTATAATTGAATTTTTTTTTTTTTGGCTTCACACCTCTCTAAAGAACACAGGATTTTACTGAAAAACTTTGATTAAAGGCACAAAAAATGTAAATTTTCAGTTTCCACGGACTCGCAAGCTAAGGAAATACCTAATTTTTTCACTAATTCATGTTTTTCTTCTTTCTGATCCTCATACCTTTTTTTTGATGCACAATAATTTTCCACCAAATGCTTTGGTAATGGTCTTATTGTTTACTTGGAGCTTTGCATTCTAAAAAAATAGCTTGTGTGACATAATCCTGTAAAAATCATGTGTAATGCTTGCTAGTCTTTTTTGTTCGAAGCTGAGAAAAAAAATTATTATTACTGTCACAAATGCTTGAATTTTGAATGATGGTGCACCATCATATTCAAATGTGTTGAAACTGTACATTCCAACTCGCTGTTTAAAGTCATCGGCTGACAAAAAGAAACTACTTTTACCGTCTATGAAACTTAAAACAATCGGTAAAAGGGCATTTAAATATCAATGCCCCAAGATCTGGAATGCTTTGCCCAGTAGTTTAAGAGAGATCAAATCCTTTAAAAATTTGTTCCAATGTCAGGTAAATTAATTTGTGTTTTTAACACTTTGCGGTCCCTTGGCGCCGGTGAAAATTATATGTTCCGGTCTCCTGGCGCAATATTATATTCTGCGCAAGGCCCGAGAAGTCAGTTGCTGTCGCTCTCCTGGCTGGGTGACCGGATGGGGTATTTTGTACTGCTGGCTCATGGCTGTGTGACTGCAAAGTGTTAAATTTATTTTTTTGTCCCCGAAATTACTATTTTTGGGGGAAATTGCACAAAAAGTAGGCCAACCACTTAAAACATGTGTAGGTTTATGCCAAATGCAATTGTGATTAATTTTTGTATAAAATGCAAGTGTTTTTTGTGTGTTTGTGAATGCATCTTGTTCTTTTTTCAAGATTAAAATTTTTACATTTTTTTTTTCAATATAGAAAGTTATGATCCAAATGTACAAATTTTGTAGAACGTATGTATATTAACTGCAAATTTTTCAATATTTTCCATTGTATATTCATTTATGGTTATTTTGATGTATCATTTGACTAGGTGCAAACATATTTTTTGAGTTTCACCAAAGATGATTAATTTTTTATTTTCAAATTTTATACGCATCCAAACAAAATTGTGTTGCATAATCGCCTCTAACAGGAACCAAAGTTGAAAATACACAAATAAACATCACAGATGTATTCTACAAATCATACTGAAAATTTCAATGTATAATAATATGTTGATATTTATTAGAATTTGTGGCCCCAGAGACCTTTGAACATGAGCACTTGTCATCATCTCATTTGGCCCTCCCGCAAAAAATTCGTCCTGAAGCCCAATATAATACGTAGCGAATGAGTTAATCGGGGTTGAGCGCTACATAAATATCATATACTATTATTATTATGATTATTATTGTCACTATTTATTATTATTATCAATACTATTAAATATAATTAATTATGTAGAAAGTATCAAAGTGATGAGTACTTTGAACAGTTTTTGCAATGCCTGTTTTTTATTAGAGCATATTAGAAAAGCATATAGAGAGCATATTGTTGCTGTTGTACGCAAAAAGAGTGACTTTGTTTGATTCCTTTACAGGATGAATACAAACATTAGAGTTACTCATTTTAATGTTAACTGTACAGGTATTCCTTCTCCATAAGACAAAATATAATCTTCATTATATTACGATGGCTGGGTGCTAGACCCCTACAAACGTCAAATTATTCAATATTGGCATTTGTCGGAGTCTTACATCCAGACATAAATAAGCTATAGACTTTATAAATCGTCATATTATAGCTACTGCTCCATTTTAAAAAAATTAATAAAATCTTTGTTAGAGTTATTTATTGTACTTAAGAGATGTTGCATCTTCGTAAGGCAATAAATAATAAAATTGAGATCTACTGTTCTATGCAGGGTGATTGAAAGTAAAATCAGTGGAGTTACTCATATATAATATATATATGTTGTTTCATAATGTGCATATGCTTTTAACACTCATCAATCTTCACTTTGAAGCTACGCTGTGTATGTTAATGAGTCTAGTTCAATTAATAAAATTGATACATTTGTGGTTGCTTTGATTCAACTCTAATTCTGGGCTGCTCTCCATTTTGTTGCCTTGTTTGACTTACAAAAGTTGGCCCAAATGGTTTTACCTATTTATTCTGACTTTTTGCTGCTCTTGTATGTCAGTCCAATTTGCTGTAGATGTCTTGTTTTTTTCTTTTTTCATCTTTAGCTTTGAAATGGTGCAGAAGTGGCTATATATCAGGTTCATTTACCCTGGCACACTAAAAAGCCTAAATCTTGTGAGGTTCCTTGATGATGTGCACTGTCAAGACTGTTCCAGGTTCCTGGTTTGTTTGAAGACTTTGACATATATATATACGTTCGTGTTATTTTGAATATACTTCATGATGTTCTTGCTCTGTCTAGATCTATATTTTGAACAGATATATATTCTATTTCATAAGATTGTCACTTTTCTTTATAAAATTTCCAAATCTTGTTTTATTCGGAATGGATGGTGCTAGCATAGATCTGTGGTGTAGCAGTTTGGCTCTTTTTCATTGAACGCAGCAGATTTGAGTTTGATTCCAGAGTGGGGAAATATTTTATCGAGTATCTCCCTCTATCTGCTGGGTTGCATTACTTTGAAAGGCAAGGTTGAAAAAGCCCGCTTCATTAAGTACACTGTACTTTGTGTTAATGGGAACGTAAGACATTTCTAATGTTGCCATGATAATGTATATTACCGTTATGGTATGGTTGTAAACTCAAGTTGCTTTTATGGTCTTTAACTGTCACATTAAGCTTGTTTGTTTATGCTGTTATGATTTATGGGGCAGTATTTTACAGATTCTATGAAAGGGTGAAAGTCTTGTGATATTAATATATTTATAATTATATAATATGTACTTTGCATCCAGAACAGGCTCTCTCTCTCTCTCTCTCTGTGTCTAAAAACAACTTCTTCTTCTGTCCCCATATGAAAGAACAAATTTTGAAGACTGCTACTTTTTTTTAACATGGCATTGGGTCAAAGGGCACATGTTCAAAGGCCACTGGATTAATTAGCAACAGCTTTATCTAAAAAAACAAGATACAAAGTGTCTCACAAACCCGTTCTCCCTCCTGTCTTTATTTCTCTCTCTTTCCCTTTTCCTGAATTGTATTTCTTTTTGTGTCTGTTAATGTTAATTTATAGTGCTGTCCCCATGGTTTTAGACTATTAAGAGTATATAATTATAACAAGAGCTGATCGAGTCACAAATGCTAAACTGTGGGAAAGAACAAGCCAAAGGCCAGTAAAGAAAGACATACCGGTACAGGTGAAAAAATGGAAATGGATTGGGCACACCCTGAAGAGACCCCCGACAAGCATCATCAGACAGGCTTTGATGTGGAATCCACTAGGAGAACATAAGAAACGTAGGGCAAAGATGACGTGGAGCTGAGCGGTAAAAGCAGAAATGGAAAAGGCGGGGAAATCATGGAAACAGCTAGAAAAGGATGCACAGGACAGGCTTCGCTGGAGAAATGTTGTTGATGGCCTATGCACCACAGAGAGTTTTAAAAAAAGGCAAGAGAGAGAGAGAGAGAGAGAGAGAGAGAGAGAGAGAGAGATAATAAGAGCTACATTTTACAAAAAAACTATGCTTTGTACTGGTGTAGATAATGATTTTTAATTGTTCATGTACATTATCTTGATCCATTGAAGATACTGATGTAAATGTGTGTGTTTATAAGGTGTGCTTCTTGACTGTTGCAAATAAAGTTGAATCTGCTCTAATGTCCACATGTCCTGGAGAGTCACCTGTACAAACAACCACTTCCCATTTTTCCCTTTGCGTTTTTTTACAATATTATTGATAATGACACTGTCCAAGGAAAGCATTTTTCTCCTCAACAGTGTGTGTGGCTGTCGTAGACAATTCCGACTGATTTTCTATCTTAATTTAAATACACCCTAAATTAGCAAGAACTTCTCTTCTGACATACGTTGCTTCACAAGAGGTTGTCTTGGTTTCCAAATCTGAAGCATCCTAGGGCAGATGACACAAAATGTCATCCTGAGCAGGAAGCTTGCCCCTTTGGGTTTGCCCTACTTGCAGGGACACAGTTTACACTTAGATGGAATTAGGAAGAATCAAGTATATTTATGTATTATGTATAGTGTCTTTTCTAAGTGCAAAGTGATGGATCTAGTGCAGCTAGAAATGGGATCAGTGTATTTTAATGGTTTTTTTAGTGCACTTGCAGAATATTATTAATACCCCCACTCTTTCCCGCACTTCAGCTTTAGATGTAAGACAGGATTGTGTGCACTGGATCTCATGTATTTCATTTCAAATAAACTTTTCCAGAAAATGGGATTCTGCGATGTGTTGTGCCGTTCTGTTTGTCAATTACGACTCAAGTTAATGGCTGAATCAGACCCATGGAATGAGTTTATTATTTACTTCAGCATTGACAACGATGGGTATATCACACATGTCACTCTTGTTCCAAAGACAATAAGGCCTATCTCATGTCAATGTGTTTTTTTAGTTTCCTGTAACTTGTCTTTTTGATCTGCACCTTTCGGCAAGATATTGGGAGAAAGACCTTGGTTTCAAATTCTTAATGGAGCATTATTAAACACAGGTTTTCTTTTTTTGAGTTTTCATCAAGGCACACACTCACTTTGCCCAGCCCTATTAGACATGGACGCTAAATCGGGGGTAGAAGCTCAAGTATCATAACTTGGGGTTTCGGAGAAAATCATTTTTAGACATTTTCCAAAGCACTGGGAGGGGGGAGGGGATGTTCTGTAAAAACCTCAGTCGGGCAGTTATTTTGTGAAAATACATTTAATTGAAAGTTCTGGTATTATTGATGGATATAGTGGTAAAAAATCTCTGTATTTTGCTCCTCCTGTAAAATTTAAAAAAATTGAAAGTTACGATAGTTGTGCTGCTACCCCACGAAATATGGCTCTGCCTCTAGTGTAAAAAGGGATGTGAAATGATAACAGTTATTTATCGCAGTAATGAAAGTGCTCTCTGCACCAAGCAGTGTCTGTGAACCTGGACAGGAATACTTTAAAAACTTGTTTGCAGTGATTTACCTTCCTTAACCCCCCCCCTGTTTTGCAACCCTCTTTATTAACCCTATCCATACGTAATGTTTTACTTTTGTATCCATACGACTTGGGGAACTCTGTGCCATGACTTTCAAAGAGGAAATTTACTCGTTAATTCGATCCGTACGCTTTGCACAGTAGTCTGTCAAAATAATTTTTTGAGAAATACTGAAAGTTTCAAAGAGATCTGCGTACTAGAAGTATTCTAAAATGTGAAATTTACAACTCCCAGGGTACAAAATGACCCCAGGGTGTACGGATAGGGCA